AGAAGTGTTAAAAATGTCAGCCATAATAATGGACTTCTTATATGTGGCAGAATCCACATGGAAACAAATTCTCATAAGTGTAATGAAAGTAAGAAAGCTTTAGGTCACCTCTTATTCCTTATTCAACAGGCACCAACTCACCCTGGTGAGAAACCTTTGGAATTTGATCACTATGGAAAATTCTTCAGAAAGAACTGTCACCTTATTTGTACAAGATATTACAAGGGACAGAAATGCTACAAATATAAAGAATACAGGAAAGATTGTGACCATTTCTTAACTCTTAGGAGTCATATGAGTACTCACTCTGAAGACAATATTTCTGAATTTATTGACTGTGACAGAGTTTTCAATCTAGAGTCATCCTGTAGGGAACACTCAAGAACTCTCACAGGAGAGAAATCTGAGTGTAATCAATGTCTTCTGTCCTTCAGCTTACACTCTTCCTTTTCAGGACATGTGCAAAACCCTATTGGAGAGAAACTCTGCGAATGCAATGACTATGGACAAAGACCTTCCCTTAGGGTGCACAAAAACTCGTGTACTGAGAAGGGAAGCTTAAAATGTGATAAACATGGGAAGGTTTTTACTGGCCCTTTGTCCCTTCAGAAATGTGAGAGACTTCACACTGCAGAGAAACCTTATGAATGTAGTGACTGTGGGAAAATATTCATTTTTCACTCTTCCCTTAAGAAACATGTGAGATCACACACTGGAGAGAAGCCTTATGAATGTAATCATTGTGGAAAATTCTTCAGCCAGAGCTCTCATCTTAATGTGCACAAAAGAACTCACACTGGAGAGAAACCCTATGACTGTAAGGAATGTGGCAAGGCTTTCACTGTTCCTTCCTCCCTCCAAAAACATATGAGAACCCACACTGGAGAGAAGCCCTATGAATGCAGTGACTGTGGAAAAGCCTTTATTGATCAGTCATCCCTTAAGAAACATCAACGCTCTCACACCGGAGAGAAACCTTATGAGTGTGATCAATGTGGAAAATCCTTCAGCACGGGCTCTTATCTTATTGTGCACAAGAGAATGCACACTGGAGAGAAAACCTATGAATGTAGCGAATGTGGGAAGGCCTTTAGGAATTCCTCTTGCCTGCGGGTACATGTGAGAACTCACACAGGAGAAAAACCCTATAAATGTATTCACTGTGGAAAAGCATTCAGCACCAGCACTAACCTTATAATTCACAAGCGAATACATACAGGGCAAAAACTTTAAGAATGAAATGACTACAGGCTAGCTTTAAGTGGCCCTTCACACCTCATTCCTCACTCTAGAACTCACACTGGAGAGAAACCTCATTGTAAGCAATGGTGAAAGCCTTTAGGCACAACTCTCAACTTAACCTTATACAGGGAGCAACCTTCTGTTACAGTTCTGTGATTGTCTTTATCAGTGAGTGTTTCATCCTTAAAGTTTGACAACTCATTAATGGAGTATTAAATGTAATGTAGCATTCTAAATTTCCCTTGATTTACATCACAGAAGTTTTGATCGATAATGTTTTCATTGTAATTTAGAACTTAATATTGTCCAATTCTCATCAAGATGTCTTGGATCTATACAAGATTCTTGGATTTAGAAATGTATTTTAATGTGAAAACTGCATATTTTAACTATTTTTTAGTTATAGATTTCTAATTTAATTACATTGTGCACTCAAAATATGGTCTTCATGATATAGATTCTAAATGACACATACTCAGATAGAAAATGGTTGGAGATTTGCTTTGTGGCCTAATGTGTCAGATAGAACCAGTTGCTGTTCCGTATTCATTGCTCCCTTCCTTAAAGTAACAGAATGATAATTGTGTTCAAGTTGGCAGTGTGGACAGTTTGTTAAGGAATTATCTAGCTTTCCTTGTAGCTATGAGTGCCCATGAGCCCACAGTCCTGGCCAATGAGAAAGAGTGAGAGCTGCTCCTGGGTCTAAAAAGCACTGCCCTGACTGGTCCCAAGGGAACTATTCTGATTGGTCAGTGAAGATATTGATGAATATGGCTGCACAGCTCCTATTGGGTGGGAAAACCTCAGTCCTATTGGTTGAAATAGGATTCTAGGATTCCTCTGTGAGGACTGGCTTGCAGAAACACAGTGCAGGAAGGCAGTCCAGTGCAGAGGCAGGCAGCTTAATGTAGGCTTCTCCCTAAAGTGTGGTTTGTGTGAGAGGACTCTGTATAGAAATGGCTGCTAGGCTCTGTTTTAAAAATTAACTCCAGTTAAGCCATCAGGAGCCCTTCTTAGTAGGTATCTTCTTTCTTAGGGTCCACACAACTTACCCTCAAGTAGTTCACCAAAAAATGTATGTCTTTAGAGAGGGAACCAACACATAATGATTTTTAAAATCCTAGGTTAGATCATGTCATGTGTCTGCTCAAACCACACTGTTGGTCCACACACCGAAGGGTCTTGGGTTCAATTCTTAGACAAACGCAGATACCAGGGTTGCAGGTGCAATCCTGGCCCCAGTAGGGTGTGTGCAGGAGGCAACCAATTGATGTATCTCTCTCACATCAATGATTTTCTCTCTTTTTCCTCTCTCTCTCCCTCACTCCCTCCCTCTCTAAAAATCAAGGAAAAAATATTCTCAGGCGAGGATTAACAAAAAAATAAATAAACCCCTGCAATGAGTCCTCAGTCACTCAGATGCCTGTCTTCCTCTTAGCTGCTATGCACCCCCAATGGCTCTGCTGCAGCCACATTGCCTCAGACAACCTCCCACCTCAGGGTCTTGGTATTAACCTCACCCTCTGCCTGGGGCACTGTTTCCCCAGATGTGCACTCACCTAAATCATTCAACATCTTCACAAATGTAACTTTCTCAATGAGGTTTATGAAGACCATTGGTTTTAATATGACAGCCTGCTCCTTCTCATACCCCTGATTCTCTTGATCCTGTGGCAGTTGAGCCTAAAATAATGACTGACAGATAGTAAATAATCAGTAAAAATAGGTTAGATAAGTTGAATAAAAAATGTGGTTCTGAAGGGGCTGCCAGTAACATTGACTCCTCATCACAGATTGCCCAACGTGGAAAGGAGACATGCTTGTGCTGATCAGAATTTTTTTTACACATAGGAGCTTAAATAAATCTAGTTTCTATTAAGTAGTGAAGCTACCAGACGTGAGTAGTGAGAGCAGCAGTTCCCCAGTATAAGAAAATAAAGCTGATCATCTGAAAGGAAGTCCTCGCAGGGTTTGAGCTCCTATGTGCCATTGTGCCCAGTGCACAGCTGAGCCAAGAATTCATGCACAAGCAACTTTATTGGAAGAAGTAAGGAACACGGAACATGAGTTAGACAGAGGAGATGTGATACAGGGTAGAAAATACAGCCAATAAAATTTACCGTGTGTCATTTCCCACAGCGAGTAAGCTGAGTTTTCATCCTGAAAGGAAATTCTGGAAAGCGGCACAAGATTCAAACTTCAGAATTATCTCAGCTGAGGTGTGAAGGATAATGTTATACCCCATGTCTCTCCATCAAGAGCTGTCCCTGGGGCATGATTCCCTGTCACTTCTGCCACCATGTATTGGGAAAAGTAAGTTCCACCTGATGCTGACCATGGCAATCAGGCTGGTGTGCGAAGCCAATACTGAGAGGATCTCAGAAAACATGGGAGCAGTGCTGACCAATTTTAACAGATCTTACTACTTCACCCTTCACTGCAAACACAATTCTGTCAACACTCTTCTCAACAGTCCACAACGTGTAACTACTATTCCTGATGGCACCTCCAGAGAGTACCCTCCCCCAAAGATAAACCACTGGACACAGCAAGTCTTACTCTAGTGTATTCATTATTACATGTTTTAGGATCTTGGGGTATCTTAAAACTACAATGATGTGAAATAAAGATACAATAAAAGAGAGTGAAGAAGAAAGGAAGAAAGGGAGAAAAAAGAAAGGAAGAAAAAAGGCAAAGACTGGAGCAACATCTAAGAGTTATCTATGCAATATATTAAAATGAATCACCTGAACAAACTGGCTTTCAAATCTAGCTTCCTATTTTTGAAGTTGAAAATCTCAACACTGTTACAGGGAAGTTGTGCTAGCTCAGGACTGTGGGTTCAGTGTCAGTTTAGAGTCCCTCTCAATCTCAACCTCTTTCTCTGAAAAATGGAGTAAATGAGATAAAATAGCTCAAAGAAATGTTTTCATAACCACATAAAATTATACATGTAAAGCAGTGATTTTCAATCTTTTTCATCTTATGGCACATAAATTACTAAAATTCTGTGGCACACCAAAAATGTATTTATTGCTGTTCTGTCCAAAAAAAAATAGGTATAATTTCTATTCATTCACACAGGACAGCTATTGTTGGTTTTGGCTGTTGTCATCTTTTTAAATATATCCTTTTATTTCAGAGAGAGAGAGAGAGAGGGAGAGAGAGACAGAAACACTAATGATGCGAGATAATCATTGATTGGCTGCCTCCTATACACCCCCACTGGGGATTGAGCCCACAACCTGGGCATGTGCCCTGACTTGGAATTGAACTGTGACCTCCTGGTTCATAGGTCAATGCTCAACCGCTGAGCCACGCCAGCCAGGTTGTTGTCATTTTTTAAATTTGACAACCTAAGGGAAAAGAGGTCAGTGGGTCTGACTAAATAGTCAGGTAGTGCAAGTTTTAAAAATTTTTGCAGTTGAAAATCACAGATGTAAAGCAACAAGCAATTTTGATATAGTAAGCAATTTTTATGATTAATGTGTGATTTTTGTTCCATTTCTTCCAGAGAAAAATAAACACACAACCAAATTAAGGTGAAGAATATCAACATTTGAGAAGATAATTTGGGGGCAGGGACCATGTCAGCACTTCATATAAGTGCTTGAAATCTAATGTTAGAAATCTCAGGAATGGCTGTAAGAAAGATAAAAACTCAATGGGCTGCAAATAGAGAAAAAAAAAAGACAAAAAGAGTTACTGAAGGGAAACAAAAACAAAATAAACAAATCAACAAAATAGAAACAGACTCAGAGAACAGACTAGTGCTTGTCAGGAGAGAGGGAGTTGGGGGACTGGGTGAAAAAGGTGAAGGGATTAAGAATACAAATTAATAGTTACAAAGTACTCATGGAATATAAAGTACAGCATAGGGAATATAGTCAATAACATTGTAATAAATATATGTGGTGCCAGGTGTGTACTAGAAATATTGGGGGAAACACTTTGTAAAGTATGTAATTGCCTGACTGCTATGCTGTATACCTGAAACTAATACAAAATAATACTGATATAAACTGTAATTGAAAATTAAATTTAAAAAGAAAAGAAAAAGTAAGTCATAGGAGCTTTGAGAATAGAAGAAATGAAGCATGTGTTTCAGGAAAGGAAAAGGATCAGATTTAAATCCATGACATTGGCCTTTGGGGACTTCAGTGTTTACTTAGTTCTGAGGCAAGTGACCCATCACAGACAAGGGGCTCCTTGCCTAAGGAGCCTTCCCAAGGCCCCCTTCACATCCTTGTTCCTCAGGCTGTAGATAAAGGGGTTCAGCATGGGGGTGACTATGGTGTACATGACTGAGGCAACTGAGTTTTGTAGGGAAGAATGGGTCACAGCAGAACTGAGGTAGACCCCCAGGCTTGTCCCATAGTACAAGGAGACCACAGAGAGGTGAGACCCACAGGTGGAAAATGCTTTATATTTTCCCTCTGCAGAGGACATTCTCATTAAAGAGGAGACAATCTTAGAGTAAGAAAAGAGAATTCCAGTAAAAGGAAACACTCCCAGTAAGGCAGTAGTCACATACAAGAAGATGTCATTGATGAGGGTGTCAGAGCAGGCCACCTTGAGAATCTGAGTCAGTTCACAGAAGAAATGTGGAATTTCAGTACCTACACAGAAGGACAACTGCCTCATCAGTAGAATATGAGTGAGGGAGACCCAGAAAATGATGAACCAACACAACAGAACCAGGAAGCCACAGAGCCAGGGGTTCATGATGACCAGGTAGTGCAGGGGGTGGCAGATGGCCACATACCGATCATAGGCCATCACAGTCAGAAGGAACCCATCCAACCCAGCAAAAATCATGAAAAAATATGCCTGAATGAAGCATCCGATATAGGAGATGGCTTTGCTCTGTGTCTGGATGTTCAGCAGCATCTTCGGGATAATGGTGGAGGTGAAACAGATGTCAATAGAGGACAGGTTGGAGAGGAAGAAGTACATGGGCGTGTGCAGGTGGGAGTCAGAGCTGATAGCCAGGATGATGAGAAGGTTCCCAAGTATAGTGACCAGGTACATGGACAGTAACACTCCAAAGAGGAAGGGCTGTAGTTCAGGATCCTCTGAGAGACCCAGGAGCAGAAATTCTGATATTTCTGTGTAGTTTCCTGCTTCCATGTAGCTGGTGTGTGTGCTGGAGACAAAGGCCAAATAAATGTTTAGAGAACTGCCAACTGCAACATCAGCTAGTGGTCACCTTTAGATTCCACCTTTGTGAGGACATCCTTCTAATGACTATGATTCACTCAGACAAACGGTAGCCATTTTCATTTTAAATGTAATCGTTTAGCCCAGGGGTGGGCAACCTTTTTGTGAGTGCGTGCCAAAACCAGGAAAATCTCTGACTCAAAATTCTTCTGCGTGACAACTCTAATTTTTTGAGAACATGTTACGCCTACTTGATATCTCTTAAGGTGTACGTATGTGAAGAGCCTTGAAGAAATAATAAAATTCATTTGAGTGACAAAAACACATTATATGATGATGAAAAATACATTTATTTTTTAATGTATACATGTACACTGATAGTCCGACAGAAAACTTTAGGACTCCGTTTGATATTATCAGTGGGACTTTTGCTGCCGCATCAAGGTTGTTTCCCCAGGTGGGGATATTTTCCTGGAGTTAGGAATTAACGGGACTAAGGAAGGGAATGAATCAGTAAAACCCCTTAGTGTTACAGA